GGACCCGCCATACACAGGTATACTTTAAAATTCATTCCTACCACTATGATAAAAAATTATTAAAAACTACATTTTAAAAAAAGTTAGATTTCTGAAAAGATATATATATATATATATATATATATATATATATATATATATTTTGTGGGACAAAGGGAGTAATTGGACATGCCAATATGTTATTAGAAAGGGCTTAATGTAAATTATAACTCATTTATCTGCCTTGGGACTAGATTTTGGTAGGTTGAGGGTTTAGAAATAATTTACAAAAGCAAGAATTTATTTTTGAATTCAAAATTTAAATATTTTGCACAACTTATGAACGTTTAAATAATATGATAAATTCAAGTGCTTATAATATTTTGAATCGACTCTTTTTTACTTTCTTTTGAAATTATTTACACAATCCAAACTTTAATAAAATTTCAGAACATTTCAAAAATGTAATAAACATACTAATTGGCTCAAAGTATATTTCCTCTTGATCCTACATATGCATCTAGAAATTTTCAAACCAAAAATTTTTTATAGCTCAACAATGATTTTCTTTTTATTACCAACAAGTCAGTGGCCTGACGGTACCAAATCCCTACTTCTAAAAGGGAGGTCAGGAATTTAAACCACAGTGGAGGCATGCGTGTGTAAGTACCAATTAAAGAAATAATAATAAATTTATTTATTTTATTAGGACAAATAACACACGCGCTAAATGTCTCTACAGGAATTTGAGGTCTTGACCTTCCACTTTAGAATGTGAGAAAATACCACTAAATTGCAACATATAGTGGTAACAAAACCTTCACAAACCATCGTTTACACACAAATAAATAAATAAATACATAAAATGGAGAACTACAAAATACATTATGATACAATAAATAAACAACATACATAATTCCTATAACTCAACTCAACAAACACTTTTTCCAACTAGATGGGATTTGTTACATGAATTGCAATTTTCTATATATATATTTTTAAAATTTTTATCGAAAGGTAAAGTTCAATTTTATATATAGAAACAACTGTACAGGGAGGGCTTGAAACATTTGCACAAAGCAAGTCTTGGCCCAGGAAGCGTTTGCAAACAAAAAAAAGGGCAATAGAACCCAACCTAAACTAGAAGGAAACTGTTACAAGTAAAACTTGTCCCACATCGGATTTGGATGGGGGTTGAAGTGTGTATAAATGGGTGGGTATGTAGCACTATTCAATAGTTCGAGCTTTTGGGTAAATGGGCAAACGCCCACCCGTTACAGTTGGTATCAGAGTCAGACCCAGTCCTTAATCCGGTGTTACGCTAAGCACCCGGTCCGAAAGGCGTCCGGGTCTGCCTCCGGGTAGGCAGGGTGGTTCGACCGCAACGAGGGCGTTGCGTGGGTTCGGGTGGGGGAGAATGTTACAAGTGAAACTTGTCCCACATCGGATTTGGATGGGGGTTGAAGTGTGTATAAATGGGTAGATGTGCAGCACTACCCAATAGTTCGAGTTTTTGGGTAAATGGGTAAGCGCCCACCCGTTACACAAACCCACTAAAGCCCCAAAATTAAAACTCATCACCGTTACAACCAGCTGGTTGGCACTGAAAGAAGGTGCAGGAGGCTTGCCCTGCCTTTGGATTAGTTTGGAGGGCTGCCGGCCGGAGGACGGATTACACATGAGGGCAAGTCCCATCCACTAGCAATGCGCCTCACAATCAAGCTATCAATGGAGGAGCATGACATGAGTTTCATTCGAACAGAATCAAGGGTTCTCTGTAGGTGTATAAATGGATAGGTGTGCAGCACTACCCAATAATTTGAGTTTTTGGGTAAATGGGTAAGCGCCCACCTGTTACACAAACCCACTAAAGCCCCAAAATTAAAAATCATCACCGTTACAACCAGCCGGTTGGCACTGAAAGAAGGTGCAGGAGGCTTGCCCTGCCTTTGGATTAGTTTGGAGGGCTTGCCGGCCGGAGGACGGATTACACATGAGGGCAAGTCCCATCCACTAGCAATGCGCCTCACAATCAAGCTATCAATGGAGGAGCATGACATGAGTTTCATTCGAACAGAATCAAGGGTTCTCTGTAGGTTCATCGAAGCGAGAGAGCTTTCCATTGGCAGAGCCATAAGTTTATCTCAAACGATATATTGTACACAATAGAAGCTAAAGAAAGCTTACAAATGGAGGCTTAATAGCTGGTGGATTTACCCTTCCAAATTTCCAATGTGTGCCGTTTAATTGTTCAATTCAGGCCATAAAGATGGAAGGATGTAAAAGGGCACAACATGTTTGAATAAATGACCAAATGAGAGCATCAAAGGCACATTTGAAGAACAAGTGGTTATGCGATTCAAAGTCAACTGAGCAGAGTGGGCATAAATTCCCTATTTGTCGATGTCCCAAGGGCATGCGTTCAAGGGTGGGCAGCCTAATGTGGAGGGCCAACAATAGCATGAAATTGTGTTTCGGAATAGATGGTTGTGACCAAACTAAGGGGTTCGGTAGGGTGATTTCGGTAGATTCTTTTGAGTGTGTGGGCAATGAAGAATCCTCTAGAAGGAGATGAGATCCATTTGATTCGATCACTTCTGTTGGAATCTGGAGAGGGAGGCAAGAGAAGATCATCTGTCGAACAAAAAAAAATTGGTTTTGAGACCATTCCTAATTTATAACTTGACAAGAGGCTTGATGACAGGTCTGAGCTGAAGAAGCTTCCTCAAACTCCAAGAGCACTGACCAGGTATGCTCATTTCCCATATGCTTCTGCCCATGAGTAGATATGTGTTAATCAATTGAATCCATAGCATGTTGTCGTTGGCTGTAAGGATGTTCCAAAGATGCTTCAGAATTGCACACTTGTTCCATATGTGTAGTTAGGGATCCCAAGACCACTAGCATTTCTAGGGAGGTTAACTGTTTACCAAACAACCTTAGCACTCTTCTGAAATCAGAGAGGAAGGCCCAAAAAATACTAGTGATAATTGATTTGAAAAAGAGAACTGTGTACAAAAGAAAAGCATGCTTTGATTTGGAAAAGAGTGTTTGTGATCACGGGAGCTCATAATAATTGATTTGAAAAAGAGAGCTTAAGAGTTCTTAAAAGTTATTAAGGGGATTCTTCGATTCAAAGGTTTTCTCATAGAATTACAGGGATCTTCATATGTCAAAGGTTGCTTCTGTCAGTAGCATAATCAGGAATGGAGTTTGGCTTATTCTTAATCCATTGTCCCCTTTAGTTCAGCAATTCTACAATTTTGTTCTCAGTCCAGATTCATCTTGGTGCTGATTCTATCCTCGAGAGATAGGGGCTTTACTTTTAGAAAAGCATGGAACAATTTCAAGAGACAGTCTGTCAAAGTTCGTTGGTATATCTTATGCTGAAATGGTTGTAGTCCTCTAGCCTTTACTACTTGTTGGTTGGCCTTTCCTGACAAACTTATTAAAATTTGAAAAAGAAGGGTCTATGCCTTACTTTTGTATTCCATAACTGTTCGAGGAATGAGAGCACTACAGATCACCTACTTTTGCAGATAGATTATGCAGCCCAGATTTGGCAATGGATTTCTGTTCTTTTCTCATTGAAAATGCCCACTTGTTCAACATTTGCTTAGATATCTCAATCATTCTTAAACTTGGTTATGACTCGCTCTATAACAAGCAGATTCTTCAGAAGGATTTTCTCTACTTGTGTGTGGTTCATTTGGTGTGAAAGACTGCATCAGAATATCCAAAGGTCTGTTGTTGAAGCTGCAAAGTGAATTTGTTTGGAGGTCAATGACTTTTTCTGGCTTTCATTTTAAAGATATCCATGTTCTTTGTTGAATTTTGTATTTCTAGTTTACCTTGCTTCCATTCTCTATCTTCTATTGCTAATGGGAATGGTCTGTCTGTCTGTTTGTCTGTCTGTCTCTCTCTCTTTGTCTCTCTCTCATATCAAACTTAGTGCACCTTAACTACGCTGCAATGCAAAAAGTTAATTTGAGATTTCCTAATAACCGTGAACCTATTGGTGCCAATCCTTATAGATCTCCTTTGTTTTGTTGTGAATCTTGAGAGTGTTGGCCAATTCAGTCTCATAGTAAGGTTTATGCAAGGGTGAGAGGAACAAATGTAATGACCATTTTATTGTAAGAGTCAATATGGGTTTAGGCGTTCAGGGTAGGTTGAAGATTGGAGGCTGAAACTATTTTACCATATCATTTAGCCCTATGCTCCATGATATTCAATCACACCTATGGAAAGATATGTGAGACCTAACAGACCTTAGGAAATAGGTTGGTAAATATTTAAGTACCTGTGAACTAGGTTTGGGACTTAAATAGAAGTTTAAAGTACGTCTGTTGTGGTTTTGTAAGTCTGTTGTGGTTTTGGTTCATAAAAGAGTAATATGAACGAATTCAAAAGATTGGACCATGTCCTCAGGGCATTGATAGTTCCAATTCAATTCGTGAGTACGCTAGACTAGTGAGCCTCATGCATTAGTAACCTTGATCAATGCTTATGTATATAAAAGGATAGCGAGCTCAATGCACCGGTACATCCCATTCTAAGAACCAATAAATCCCATTCTAAGAACCGCTACATCCAACCTAGGGTCTATATAAATCAATTTGTCTTCATATTTGTATGAGATGTAAGAGTGAAAAACCAAGAGAATGAGGAGCGTTCATTGGGATATAAAAATTCTAGTTTTCACATAATCTTCAAGGTTTTCTTCAATTTCATAGTGTTAGTTTGTTCTAGAACGACCATAAGTCATTTCCCATTGAGAGCCAGGGGACTTCATCAATTCAGAATTCAACCAGGGATTTGTTAATCAAACCATTGCTTAGGAGAGTTCATTAAATTACTTACAAGAAGGATCATTTGGGTAAAACACTTTTGTAGTCATAATCATAACTGTGATTTTGAGTGATCTAACCAGGTTTAAGTCTATCACACTTAATAAGCATGTATCAAAAATGAAGTAAATATAGCAACGCAAGCTATCAAAAGTGAAGTACTAAGGAACGTAAGCAGAAGTGAAAATACAATTAACTTTTTTCCATAGTGAAACAAAGTTTAAACAAGGAGAAATAGTACATAGAAGCTATCTAAGCATTATTATACAGTACCCATAATACTCCCTTCCCCCTCTTTTATTTATTTATTTTTGTATCATCCCCCTTGAGATGGGCTTCTGTGTTAAAGCAACACTAGAGAGGGGATACTAGGGTTTAAGCTTTTGCAGTATGAAGAGCTCTCATTCCTCTCTGGTAATAAACCCAATGTGTGTCTGCATAATCTCTCACTTTCTTGAACAACCTTGGTCTTTCCTCATCAACCAAGCCATCTTCTACTCCAATCTCTTTTCCTGCTTCAGGTGTGTAGAACACAGCTACAGAAATCCTGTCCCTCTCTGAGTTACTCAGTACCCTGTGCACTGGGCTCTTGAATATTCCATTTGTCATTATCTGATGGTGTCACAGAATTCCAATAAGTTCTCTAATATAATTTTTAATTATTATAACTATTTTAAAAAAATATGTATTCTGTTATGCTATTTTATGCCTATAGTCTTTAATCTTTGACAAAAATATATGGCACAAGTGTACAGTTACTATACAACAAGGCCTTGATCACAATAGCATTGTTTAGATCTTCTGGACCACATTTTAACAATTTGGTGGCTATAGTAATCTGACTAAGTCTAACTGTTCTTAAAAGAAACATTTTTTAGCCACGAAATCTGTAAGGAGATACTTTCTCCTCATAATATTGATATGATGTATGTCATTTATAATTTTAAAAAATAAAAAATAAATAAATAAGGAATTTGTTTAACCCACTTTTCTTGGATCAATTTGATCCTAAATCAGTTAACCCAATTTAATATGGTCCAATTATACTAGACATGTGGCTCCTATGATTGGAGGCGCGTACTTTTTGAATAATTATATATTTATATAGATTGAATACTCGAACTACCTACTATGTAATACCCTTGACACAATTAATATCGCTATATTTCTGAAATAATCAAGAGTACTACATTCTCGGTACCCTGAATGCCATCGTGCTTTCGGTTCTTAAAATGAGTCTACTGAGAAATAGCAAATATAGAATATATTTACCTCCATTTGATCACCCATGAGAATTAGGAGTGTGTTGGGAATTTTGGGGACAGTAAACCATTTGTCATTTTTAAGGACTTGAAGACCTTCTTCATCTTGCAAGATAACTGTGTATCCCGATCCATCTGCATGGGATTTTAAGCCAAGAATAAGATCAGGCCTCTTGCACCTTGAGTAGTAGTTAAACCTCGCTTGCAGTGGTGCTTGTTCTCCAAACTGATTCAGAAAGCAATTCTCTTCCAGATTCAATGACTTTGCCATGGCTTTGGAAGTGATCTCTGTTATCTTTCTCATCTTCTCAGTGTATTCTTCTAAAATGAGTCTGCATAATTTACTGTAAAGCTCAGTGACTTCAATATGAAAATGAAATTGCTTAGTAGCCATGCTTAAGCTGTTTCGATTTCCACATTCAATTGGTTATGTTCTTTAGGATTATTGTAGGCGATGTTGATAAACTATGATAGTTGATGCTTAAGGCCATGATGTCCTTATTTTCTGGTTGGGTTTATTCAAAAGGCTAGTCTAGCGCATGTACTTAAACTTACATCCACATATAGAGAAACTGTTTCTCATTTAGAACCCATGACCACCAAGGCATAATGGAGCAACCTTACCATTGTGCCAAGAGCTACCATCTTTTAATTTGGTTTATTTAATAATAAATAGAGTGTACACAACAGAACTCCATTGGTCTCATTTGGGACCCTACAAGAGATTGACTCTATCTATCTGCAAACATGTCAAGATAATCTAAGCATTGGCCTTGAATTTTTTTTTGTTCAGTTCTTCGTTGGGCTGCTTGCTTGTATAGTTCCTTCTTTCTTTTCTACAACTTACCATTTATCGAAAAAAAGAAAAAAAAAAGAGTCCTTAGATTTATTTGTGACATTGTGAATGAGCAATATGAGGTGAAAAACTAATGTAGGGTAGTATCAGTAGACAGAAGCACCTGAAAGAACATGGGTTTTCCGGCCAGAATTTGAGCTTTCTCCGATCTTCAGGGTATACGTCAAGAAATAGGCGATCCGACCAGTCAAGGGACTGACCCTCTTCAGGTACAGGGTCAGCCCCATACCCTTCAAATTCTTCCACTGTTTTGGAGTACTTCTTTTTCTCTTCCATTGGCTGTCCAAAGAATTCCCTGCTGACTTGACAAATCTTTTCTAGGAATGGATTTGAAATCCCATGACCTATTGCCTGAACAATATTCACAGTTAGACCATAGAGTTTGCCACAATTTTTTTTTTTAATTAAATCATCCTGAAACGAGATTGACCCATTAAGTTCAAGATTCATTGGCTTCTCTATCATTCATTTCTACATTCTTTTGATGTTCATTTGGTTTCCTATCATGTTGCTTTAGTCTTGTTGAAATTTAGATGAGATGAATGGAGTACTTGGTGATAATTTTCGTACATGTGTATTTCCTAACATATTTTTGCATCACCACTTAACTATATGGTTTGTTTATTAATGTTTTCATGGTGATACATATTATAGTTTATATATATAAGTATAAAGGTTTTGAGTTTGTACCTGAAAGCAGCCCCATGAGCACAGCGCGGATTTAAGTTTCTGCAACTCATCTTCATATTCTTTGGTGGATGGTGTTGAACACGAGAGAGTACTCAGATCGATGATGGGAATTGGAGATATTGGAGAAGGAGCATCTGCAATGGTTTCACCATCTCTGCAAAAATACAGTGCTGGTGGCTCCTCGCCATTAAGAACCATTTCTTGGACGCGCTTTGATAGCAATAACTCCGCAGAGGGAGTGGAAACTCCAGCCATGTTGTCAATTTTCTGCTAAAATTTAGGCTGTGAAGATGAAACTCTTTCAGGCAAGATCAAATTGTTACTAAGTGATACCTAGTGGCTCATGGTGAGTACATGATGGTAACATTTTTGGAATCTCTCTTTTTTGCTTCCATCCAAAATATGTCACTCCATGGATGGGGACCATACAAATTATAATTGATAGCTTTGAAAATTCATATTTGAATTTTGTCGCGGAGACAAAAGGAGAGAATATTATGTCGTCGAACAATTATGTAAAATCTGTGCTCCAGTGTTGCATGGGTTTGGTGGGGATTTGAAATTTCAACGGAACAAGGTAACATGTGGCTGTGGTAAAACAAGTCTATTTAGTGGAAGCAAATAAATAAATAAATAATTTATCCAAAAAAACAAATAATAAATAAATAAATAATAACGGGCCAGTGACCTAGCAGAATCAGTCTCTTAAATTTTAAAGAGAGGTCAGGAGTTCAAGTCTCAAAAGAGACAAGTGTGTGAGTACCAACTAGAAAAATAAATAAATAAATAAATAAAATCTCATTAGTACTTGTGAATCAATTTTTAGAGGGAGAAAAATATACATCCTTCGGAAAAAGAGAAACAAAAAAAGGAAAGCAGTGAAACATTTTTTTAATATACATCCTTCGGAAAAAGAGAAACAAAAAAAAAAAAAGAAGTGAAACATTTTTTTACTGTTCACAGGTTGGCGTCCGAACGCAGGAACTGACGTCCGGACGCGGAGTGCCCTGGTGCTACCTTGCATGTGCTTGAGGAATGCCATTGTGCAGATGCAATGCCAGGCGTCTGGACGCAAGGCAATTTCCCTAGCCTAAATGCAACTTTATTGCATATCTTCGGGCTTGGACCATTGAGTCCTTCGTCCGTACACATTGCTGAAAGTTTCCATAGGTCCATTGGATCCTCTTTTCTTGAATAACCCTAGATGTTGAAGCCCGAAATGCTTTTGATCTTCAAAAGCTCTTAAAATCTTATTTTTATTTTTTTTTGGAGAATACACCTGAAAATAGACAAGAACACAAAAACACCTATAAAGTAAACATTATAAACATAAAAATGGAATAAGCTATGCAATTAAGAGCGCTTGAATATGCAATATTCGGCGCTTATCACACTCCCAAACTTACATTTTACTGCTCCCTTAGCAAAACTAAAATGAAACGCACAATGAAATAACATATTTCTCCTCTTTCGTGAGAGTGACGGTTGCATTTAACGTATGCAACAAGCATTTTAAACCCTTAGATATCCCTAGAGGACGAATGAAGTCTCGTGAGGGTTTACTAAAGATAATACTCAAAAATATTAAGTAACAAGGCTCATTTTAGTATAAACTGAAACATATGACTTTAGGGAAAGACTCTATCATGAAGACTACAACAAGTATGCATACAATAACATCTCAAAACAATATTCAATTCGCAACATTCATGTATCAACAAAATAGTCCTCATACATGATCTTCAACATCTCAATTATAATAGAATTTCATCTCAAGTTCCTTAGAAGTGAACCATAATTTATTTTCTTTTTTAATGCACTTTTAACCCTTTTATAACTCATACAATGTCTTCCACATCCTTAATTCATCCTTCGAAATAATAATCCAAGACATGAATTTATTTGAACACATTTTGTTTTGCTTGGTTTTTATTTTTTATTTTTTATTTATGCATGACCGTGTGCAATGTCTAAGTTCCTTAAGCTTTCTAATCACCCTATATAACGAGTGTTGAGCCAACGACTCTCAAACCAAATGGTCCTAGGGCGTTAAGTGTAAAGACACTTCTATTGGCGTAATGACTCAGGATGGTTAGGTCACGAATTTAAACTAATCATATATCTTACATTCTTTCCTTGGCTTCCTTTTTAATCAATTGACATGTTAAAAGAATGCAGTTTTTTTTTTTTTTTTTGCCAAGGACCATTTCATTCATTCAACTTATACTAATTCAAGGAGCCAATTAAATAAGATCACAAAGAAGGGGATGCAATTTCCGGTGTGCTTAATGTGCATTGTGAAGTTACTTAGAGATGAAAGACTCCAAAATAAAATATTTAAATTATGCAATGGACCTTTTTCATTTGAATAATCATGTTAGCAACTTTCAATCATTCCTTGATATTATATATAAGCATACAAGTTATATTAATCACATAAATTCCCTCCCAAACTTAGTTCTAACAAAATCAGAAATCATTTGCCTAAACATAAATTATTATTATTTTTATTTATTTATAAATTTTCTATATTTTTTTTTAATCTTTTATTATTATATATATATATATATATATATATTTTAATAGTAGTTTTTATTTTTTTAAAAAGAACCATCTTGGTAATGACAATATGCATATGAATGGTCCATCTTGACAATGACAATATGCATATGAATGGTTACATCCCAACACCCCCAAACTTAAATGATACATTGTCCTTAATGTATGAAGACAAGTATAGAAACTAAGCATGCATAGATATGTAAAAAGAGGGATACTACCGAGTGCGAAACATGTAATCCATTGCATCCAATTCCGTAGGAGATGCTAAAGTTCCTCCCCCAAACTTGTATATGATAATTTGTCCACATAAACTAGGTACCAAGCATAAAAGCATAGACATATATATGGATATAAATCTGGAATAACATGTCATACTTTATTAAAAACCGAGAAAGAAATCAAAATCTGTGCGCATCAAAAAGTACACCCACATGTCATGCCAAACATGGCCCAAAATAGTATCAAAATGAAGGACTAAAAAGCAAATAAAAATAACAAATGTAAAGTCACTTCACCATCGGAGTAGAAGATGAAGCACCGGCTCGTCCGAGTGTATGATGAATCAAGGATTGCAGCATGGCTTGCAAAACCTACTATCCTTCCCGAGTTTCCTTACAGAAGGCCGTAAGGGTGCCCTCCATGGTCTCAACTTGCAGCTGAAGTGAGTCAAGTCGGGTGCTGAGAGAGTCGTACTCTGCTCGAGTCATAGTAGGTGGTTGTGTGGCAAGAGGTGCAGGGGCAGCATCATCAGCCTCAATAGAAACATCCACATCCCCCCAGTGGAACATATCACCAATGCGTAACTGTCAACTTTTTTTCAATTGTGATATTGTTTTCTTCCATTTGGTAAGGTTGTAAAGGAACACACACTTCATCCATTCCTCATTATGGGGTGCCTTATATCCCTTGTTCTTGAGCATCTTAGTAATGAAATAGGGAAAAGGGAATGACCATGGCATTATCCAACTGCTTAACAATGAGATCATTGTAAAGCTTCAGAATCTAGTCCCAAAGGAGCTGTGGGACACAAAACCAATAACCTTTCTCCACTGCATAGAGGGTATTCAGAAAAACACCCTTTCTTTAGAATACTTGGCAACCAGAAAGACATTCTGGGCAAGGACAGAGTCCAAAAACCAAATCCGACACGAAATGTATAACTTGTTAGTGCTTGTTGTGCGGCGTGTTGTGTAATTAAAATGACATATGTCATGCACAATGTCCGGTAGGGTAATGATATCCGAAAAAAGGCCATAGATAGGCTTATCATCCTTATTCAAAGGGAAGTTAAAGGACATTCCCAAGCCATGGCAATGTCATTAATGGTGAACGCATAAACCGTGCCATCAATGATTGTCCTTATCACATTCGGCTCGGTGCAAGAGTAGGACATGTTGGAGTAAAATTGCTAGACTAAATACGAAAGGAAAGCATGAGTACATGGTTTAAATAGAGCTTTGAGGCCATGATTCTTCAACTCCGTAATCGACCAAGCTGTTTTCGGGTGGGTTTTGAATTCATGCTCTATGGTGAATTTGGACTCGAATTCAATTGGCCAGTTAGACCAATCCGGAGTAGGAACCTCCTAGGAAGGCTCCGCAGAAGGATGAGCATGCTTGGAAGCATCTTTGGAAACCATTTGGATGAAGAAACTTGGTTCAGGACTTTCGTCAAACACGTTGTATGCAAGACTGAAAAATAGAGAGCAAGAACAATGGGGTAATAGTTAAAAACCTAAAATTTGAACCTGTAATTGAAGCCAACCAATCCCCTAACAACAACATAATCCACACCAACATCAATACCCAACCTCCATTATATGCCTAAGAAATGAGGGAATAGAAGAGAAGAGATAACTTACCCCAATTTGGAACTCTTAAACCATACCCTTTTGCTTGATGAATGATGATGATGAGGATAATGAGATATAATGGAGATGTAGAGGGTGAGAGAGAAGGAAAAGAGAAGATTTAGAATATGGAGAAGGTAGGGTTTGGAAGTGGGAGGCTCAGATGGAAGAGATGAGAGAAGGGAAATAAAGAAAATGAAGGGAGGAGGTAAAGTTTCAAAGTTTAAACAGGGCTCCATTTTTTTATTTTTTTTTTCTGGGCTGTGGCGTTCGGGCGCAAAATTAACCAGAGACTATTTTTTTATTTTAGCGAAACAAGGCCCGAGCTGAGGTAAGAAAATTGCATAATTAGAAACTTAAGCTCCCCTAGGCCTTAGACACCTGGAATAATCAACAGAATGGAAATCAGAGCCTTCCCGTGAAAGCGCTATTTTTGGGGTCCAAAATTTCCGTAAATTCAGATATTTTGGAGAAAATGGGCGAGTTGAGCCCAAAAAATTCCAAAAATGTTACTGAAACAGTAATATGACTAGCGAAACCCACGTTGACCATTGGAATGGAAATCGAGATGATTCCGGAAAAATGCAAAGTTTAGCTTCTACTAATTGATGAGCCCCTTTCTGTGTGTTTAGAAAACGGACTTTGTAATGCGAGAGGTCGCTTCGAAAGTCAAAATGTGAATGTGGTTTAGGAAGCCTTTCTAGTCAAATTTACATTTTTAAAAACCATTATTATAACTAATGAAGCATAACGAGTAGGGATCGTCCGTAAGGATTAAACACGTAGTTGGAATTCAACTTCGACTTTAAAGTATCAATTGATTGCAATGAGAGATTAGTTGGTTGATTACTCTAGAAAACAATTAATTAAAATGCAAGTGAAATAAACTAAGTTAAGTTAGGGATTTAAGAGATGA